CCAGGTTCTTGATCCAAGGACCCGTATGGTTTTGTTTAGAATGCTTAATCGGGGTGTGTTCAATGATGTTAATGGCTGTATTTCAACAGGAAAAGAAGTATGTCACATTCACTACTCTCATATTTGATGGTTTAGTCGAGGGATGATTTTGTAGCATCGTTTTAAATCAGAAAATGATGTGTTTGGATTCCTCTGTTAACAGTGATCTCTTTTATTATTTCTCAGGCTAATGTTTATCATGCCACAAAATCTGACGGTGCGGAACTTGCAATAAAAGTGTACAAGACATCCGTTCTTGTTTTCAAGTGAGCTAATACAGGAATAATTGCTATATCTTTTGTTTGAAACGTTTGAATGTGATGATTTTGTTTTTTGAGCCTCAAAGTTCATTTTCAACTTTGATTATTTCAGGGATCGAGATCGATATGTACAAGGAGATTACCGTTTCAGATATGGCTACTGTCGCCACAATCCCCGGAAGATGGTGAAGACATGGGCTGAAAAAGAACACAGAAATCTTAAGAGGTAAACACCTACAATTCATTATCAGTATGTGCTGGATATTAGTACTTGAGAGTTTACATTAAGGAATCGTGGGAGTACTCTCTGCTTTACTCTTAATGTAGGTTGACATATCTTGTTTGCCGAATATAAGTAGAAATGTACTCTCGCTTGTTTCGACTTATGTGAGAGTAATTTTTTAACTCCTTGATTGTTTATTTGTTTCATTGTCAGGCTTCAGGCAGCAGGAATTAGGTGTCCAGCTCCTATCATTCTACGCCTTCATGTTCTAGTCATGGAGTTTATAGGTTTGCTCTAATACATTCTTTGTTGTTTTCATCTCTGATTCTAGGCAACTCTTCTCTTTTCACACTGATTCATCAGCATATTTAGTTGAAACAGGGAAATGATGATGTACCTAGTCAAACTTACTAAGATTGTTCTGTTTATATATATCTGCAGGGAGGGATGGTTGGGCTGCACCTCGTCTCAAGGATGCTGCATTATCACTGGACAAGTTACGTGAGTCTTATCTAGAGGTATGTGGCTTATCTTCTCATTTCGGGGTTCCTGAGTCTTTTATTGTAATGCTTTACTTATATACTAATTGTCTTTGCAACATATCACGTGACATTGCAGCCATGATTAATCTCGTTCTGGTTTCATCGCTATCATATCGGGAATTCACAGACATCTTTTCGTTTGCTTTTCAGTTGATAATTCAAATGCGAACATTATATCAGAAGTGCAAATTGGTGCATGGAGATCTTAGTGAGTATAACATACTTTACTTTGAGGTGAGTTTTGAGTTATTTTGTTCGTAAAGGATCTCTTCGGGTTACATGGCTTACTTATTTGACGTATCCTGGCTGCAAAAGGAAATAAAAATAAGTTACAAACAATAGAGAGAAACCAAGTGTATTGATATTATCTTGACTTTGTCAGGGGCACCTTTATATAATTGATGTTTCTCAATCTGTGGATCTAGACCATCCTCTTGCCCTCAATTTTCTGCGAGAAGATTGTGACCACGTCTCAGTAAGTGCTATATATTTGCCGTTTTTAACAATATGATTAATTTGACTGGAAAATGGTGTCTCTCATGTGTGGATTATTTCGACATTCACCCACAGGATTTTTTCAAAAAACATGGTGTGGCTGTTATGACAATACGGGAGTTATTTGATTTCATAGTTGACCCGGCAATTTCAGATGAAACTGTTGATAGCTATTTGGAAGAGGTATGTGTATCTTTTTATTTGGAATATGTCCTTTAATCAGTCGTAGCTTCAGGTTTTAAAGTTGTAACATTTATTTATTAGCAAAAGTTAAATTTATGAAGTACGTTATAATGTGGGCAGGTCCAACGCAAAGTGATAGAACGAGGAGAGATATCCGTAGAGGATGAAATCGCGGATTCAGTATTTATGAAGGTTAGTGTAGTAGTATCTGATCGTTAGAATTGATGTGCGAAAGCTGTAGAATCATCTTATCTTATTGTGTTTGTTATGATGATCAGTCATACATACCGAAATCTCTGGATGCTGTAAACAACCCGGAGGCTGACGTAGCAAAGATAACGAGCGGGCAAGACACAGGAGACATGCTATACCAAACAATAACGGGGCTTAAGGATGCTCTTCCGAAAGTAGATGAGCAGCCAATACAAGTGGAGGATGCTGATGAGAAAGAAGCG